GAACAGGATTTTTCAGGATTAAAGTTTATCCATCTCAGTTTACGTAATTCAGCACATTTGTAATATTCATTTTTAATCAAGACGCCAAACCTTGGTGCAATGCTTCAGACCTGACAATTCAAGAGCGGTTTCCCTGTAAGACTTAATGGAGTGGACTTGGTAAATTGGCCATTAAGAAGCAAATCAGTCTAATGAATGTGCCTTTCCCTGGGCGCTTTGTCTCTCTAATGTGTGTACTGCCAGGGTGGTGAATGCCACGGCTTTGTGACGTTTTATTACGACAATAGTAAACCCTGATGGCTCGTCTGACTGGTTACTCCGGGTGAAATATGCCTGTGGGATGTAGACGTGCACATGATGCCAGAGGAAGGAGCGCAGAGGCTGGAAACAGTCCAAGCCATGTGAATTGACTTTTTCCCCATATGGAGCACAATTACAATGAGTATTCCCAATTATACTACTGGTCAATTGATGAATGTATGTTGTAGTTAAAAACGACCCTTTAGTTTCAGATCAGCACACTAGTATAACATTACAGATTACACAATACAAGACAGGACAATCGTATTAACTTATTCTCACTCCCTCTCCCGTCATTACGAGACATTTCTGTGCATCATAGAGTTCATCCCACACCCACGTTGCGATTGGTTTGCTGCCTGACTATCTACAGTATGTTGAAACCTGCTATAATAAGGCTTGCTTATAAATATGCAAACGGTGCCAGTCGTACAGTTGTTGGTATAGTTTTCTTTCCTTTCTTAATTTAAAATGCAATGCTGGATGACAGCTCATTGTTACCCACACTCTACTTATGGAAAATTATATATATTTGAGTTTAACATAAACTATTTGTAAAAATGTGTCCAAGTGAAAGTGTCTGTTCCAGTTTGATAGTTACTGCAACAGATTTCTTGTAATCACAATGAAGATTACACTGCTCCCCTAATGCATTGTGCTTTATTTAGCTGTGATCATGCTGCACCAATATTACAACAATAAGTTGTTTTATTTAAAAAGTAAACTCTAATACATTTGAGCACTTAATATCTTGAAGTACTGAAATTAATTTGCTTTAAATGTTTTGCCAGATATTTCAGTTTAGTTCTGTTAACTTATAAATAATCATCAGAAAACCATTTTAAACATATTTATACCTCCCACAGAATGTTTTCATTTTTAAATAATACCCCAAAATGTAAAGGTCTCACTTAGGTGGATCAATATTGTTTTATGTCTTTCCTATTGCATTTTGGTTAATAACGGGACCTAACCTGACTGACTGACTGTTTTTAAATACTATTTGCTTAATGTCTTTCATTTTTGTAAAGCACTTTGAATTGCCTTGTGTTGAAAGGTGCTATATAAATAAACTTGCCTTGCCTTGCCTAACCTATAAAATACTATACATTTTAACTGTAAAACACCAACATCAATACTTCTCTGATACAGTTAACTATAAGAGAGCGGGGACTTCAAACAAAAAAAGCAAAAAGCAAATGAACAGTTTTGTCATCAAAAATGTGACACCAAGTTTATTAGACCAGCAGACAGTGAATTTGACACTTGCTTTTTGTGAGAACATAATATAATACATTCCACCAATCAAAATGGTCCTTTGTCCCATAAACAGTCAGAGCACACAGTGCACGTCTCACCCTCATACAGCAATTTTCCTAAAAATGTTTCAAAACTAAAAGTTTGTTGTTGTAGACATAACCTGCTATGCAAACTGAGAAACCAAATGTGCATGTAACATAAAGTAGGAGCCAAGGTTAAGATTCACATTCTTATCATCAATTCTAGTTCTTTTAAAATGACCCTGAGCAATAATCAGTGTAAACATTTCTACATTCGCCGCAAGCTAAAATACAACTTGACTTCCATTCTTAGTAAAAATGTAGATGGAAGTACATTTCCTTATAGGCATGCTGGTGTTCAGGTCCACATATTGTATGTCGCTGTGCATATACAAGGCATAAACATGACACCAAGATTTGTAACATTGCGTCATTTTTTTCTTTTATGGGGTATTATAATGAGTCTAATAGAAATATACTTCATATGTAGTTTTATACTGTATTGTAGGAGTGCATTCAGTTGCTCCAGCAGTAGATATGTAGAGAGGCTGTTCTTCATATAGTGAGGGCAAGTTGCCAGGCTAAGGAAAGGAAAGAGCGCAGCAGAGGTCATTCTGAGCCAGACTCTGGATCAGTCTGCACCACTCCATCCTCTTCTGAGTGATGTAGGCCGGGGTGATGATTTGCACAGGAAGGCATGGCGAGGCCTCCACCCTCGCCTTTTCACACAAGGCCTCTGCTATACAGATAACGTACATGCCGCAGTCATAGCTGTTCTTCTGGGATGGGCAGGGCTCCTCCACAAACTGCGCTTTTCTCCCCGCACCCAAGAAAGGCTCTAGATTGCGGGCGATGCGCCGTGCGTGTGTTGAATTGCTGCCGTTTTGAGAGTCATAATGTGCAAAGTGCTTGGAGTTGTGGTGGTAGACCAGGAGACTCCAGTGGGATCCTCCGGCGGTCTGGTTGGAGTTGTCGTTAACGGCCAGGAAGACCCAATGACGAGAAGCAAGATTTAGCGGCTCCAGAAATATTGCTAACTCATTGGGGCAGGAAGCACACTTTATGTACTGGGTGACCTCCGGGCTGATGAAGGTGATGGTCTCCCCCAGGACTCTGAAGCGCTCAGCAGCAAAGTATTCAAAGGCAAAACCAATGACTTGGTCATTGAGCCAGTAAGGTCCTTCCAGCAGCGACACATCAGAGCGTCTCAACAGGCTGTCCTGGTAGCTCACCACCACAGGGTCCATCCCCCAGTCAAGTGTGCCCGTCTGCAAATACACAAGATTTACAGTGCTGAATGTTTAGCTGATAAAGTTGTGCAAAATAAACATTTTAAATTGTATTGTTATCTGTTTTCATTTGTTATTTGTCTTTCCAAAACATGTTATGTGAGTTAATACAAAACAATTGCTTAACAAAAAGACTCCACTGTCTCTTACAATTGCAGTTTAATCTTACATCTGGTGTATTTTTCTCAAATAAAAAAAGGTTTGTGAAATCATCCTGAAAATGATGATGTAAACCCAATTATTACAAATTCATTTGATGGTTGATTACTAACTTGCGTCACAGGGATAAGATGTGTGGCTGGGTTAAGGTCGTACAATGTAAATACCACCTTATAAACCCTTAAACTCTGATGTCTGGAGTTAAAGGGAACATTTCATTTGGGTTCGATTACGGTTTGTTGCTGTTGGCCGTTAACGTTACTCACTGAGACACGTCAAATGGTTCATCATCTTATTAAGAAATCGCGTTATTACCTAGTATTTACAATAACGTATGATTGGATATAAACCTCCAAATGCTGTAACAGGCTGCCAGTGACCGGTGATGCCACTGCGGAGAGTATCACATTACTGCAGTGCGTTTCATTTGACCATAGACAGCTCCCTGATGATGAACCATTAGCATGAGCTAGTTAGCTAACTGTCACTTCTCCCATCACACGAAGCGAAACAACTCCGCTAAACGTTCATTTTATCCTGTACAACTTGAACAATGTCCTGTAAAACGAAAATATATGAACTTAATGAAATGTCCATACCTGTAAAAGACACACTCAAATAAAAAGTAGCAGGAAATCTGCAGTCTCGCACCTCATTGCATTGACTAACGTAAAGCACTACAGGAAGACCTTTAACTTGTTTGCGACAGGGTGTCGCGCAGTACACTCACTGGAAAGATACCAGCTGCTTCGTTACCTCCTGTCATTTAAAAGTTATCTTTGCTTACAGTTTACAGTTATATGATACAAAATACACCCACACATGTACAACATACCACATCTACCGTCACCAGAAATAATAAATACACTCAAAATATACGCTAAAATGTGATTAAACCATCATTTAAAATCAAGTGGTGCAGTGTGTGTACCTCGCTACCGAGTTATTTAGTGCCTACTTCCTTCCTGTTGTTTCGCTACGTCCGTGGAACGACAACTTTCTTTTTTATAAATAGAAACTACAAACTTCCAGTAAAAATACAAGCAACATATTACATTCACTTGTAAACAAAAGGAGGGACGCAAAAGGAATTTTTACCCATAATGATTCTCTATACATTTTAGTGATAGTAGCCTAAATTATGAAACAGATCCTTAATTGTTTATTTTTCCACAAATCTACTTTTATGTAGCCTATAAAGAATGTTAAAAGAATACAAACTGTTTTGATTTTGCTAAGCCATCCGTTCCACCTGAATGTGGAAATATATACCAATAATCACATTTTTCCATTATAATTACAAATGTTCTTTAGGCACAAAACTTTAGAACACATGTTTTTTTCTCATGCCATGTGTCAACATTTATTTTTGTTGATATTAACATTCTATATGAATTTCGAACTTTTGACTCTTTTCTTTAAAAGAAAAAGTATGATTTAAACTTGTCTATTTCTGAGAAATAATAAGTCCTCTTTTGTATGGTGTATAAAAGGCATAAGATTTTGGGGGAACTACCCACTTAATTTTTACTTTTGTTCTTTGTTGGTCTTATATAGCCTATGCCTGGTGATTCCATATATAATTCTACATTTTCGCTAATTGATTTCTTCAGTTTTTGGTTAAGGTTTATTGATAAATGATACTCTTTAATATGTGTTTAATTCAACATTAAAATGGCTGCACTCCATTCATGTGAAGTATACACTTCTTCGCACTTAAGGTTGAGAGTTTAGAAAACTGATTAGTCACCTATTTTCCAATAATTGTGTTGTTTTTTTACATACAAGTTGTCCGGTTATTATGACGAACAGGGAAGCTGCAATTCCCCCATGTGGCCACTACGTTAAAAATCCCCTCACCCCCGGTAAACTGTTTGGCTCCGGTCCCGGGGGCACGCCTCCGAGGTCCTCCCTCTACTTTTTAACCCCGCCCAGGAGCAGCGTGACCGCGCACTACCGCGCGCCCCCGGAGCGGCCGCACTGATTAGCAAAGCAAAGTGTAGTTTCCAGAGCCCGTCAGCGAGCTGCGAAGGACTGCTTTTTAATTACATTTTACAACAGCGAACACGCACGGATAAAATAGCGCAAGTACTCGGAGTGGAGGTACATTTCGAGGAGTTGTTCGGAGGCGAGCGGCGGGAGATAGAAGGATACACATGAATTCAGTGGGAATGCGGGGAATTAAATAGATACTTAGGCATTTTATGTGGCTACAAGTGTGTGGCTCTGCAACCCATCCTGAGAGCAGACGGAAAACTTGAGTCCCACTTACGACTGACTTCAGCGTTCACGTCTGGAGGTAAGAGTGTGATGTTTAGTAGTTATCGGACACTGTTGTGTGTGTGTGTGTGTGTGTGTGTGGTGGGCTGCCCCGCAGTGGAAGAGGGGCTTTGGGGCTGCAAGCAACCAATGATTCAAGAAACTTGTTCCTTTAATCTGCACGCATTTGCAAGATGGTTGTCCACGGTGTTTCTGTTGAATGTCACAGAAATGTTTGTGTTTGTGTTTCTAGGCTATGTGTGTGGTGTGAAAGCTTGTGAAAAGTTTGAGTTGCAGCTTAGTGTCATGTCATCTACAGACCGCCTCTAGACCTACATCTCTGTCTGAAGCCACCAAAATGTTCATTTGGAAACGTGACACCTTGTAAAAATGATGAATCATGGTTCTTGTTTGGGTTTTTGTTGCCAAGGATTACACATCAATTAGCATCGATATGATTTTGATGTGTCAGTTGTTGCCAAAAGGTTTATTTTCATCGTCAGACCTTGTGAAGGAGGCTACATTAAAAGATACAACGAGAAATAGAAAATGCAGACATAAAGCATGAATGAAAATCATGGATGATGCAGCATAAATGAAAGGACAGTATTCTGTTTTCATGTTAGGGATGAAGTTCAGGTTAAATGTTTGTCTGCAGTAGGGTGGGGTAAATGTCTGAATGTATTATTTAGTGGAGGTCATAGAGTATATAATGCAGAGGAGGCAATAAAGACTGCAGTTCTAGTACATGGAGGTCTAATGGGGTGAGGAAGCTGCTGAATCATGGAGAAGTCTCTGAGCAGTGGACAGAGTTGCCTTCATGACTGCCCCAACTGACAACCCCATGTACATTATATTTCTGTGCAAGATGACTTTGTCACTGTAGTATTCCCTTGAGGCTTTGGCCTATATTGTGTCTGTGCTGATCATTCTGAGTTTATAGTTCCAGTTCCTGGTTGTAGTTTCTGAGGATCTTTTTGGATATTTTGTTCCTTTTTTATTATAGAGTTGTCAGTTGAGTGTTGACAGGAAGATGAGGGGGTACCATGCAACAAAGCTTTCCAAGCTGGACCCGAACTGGGGACCTTGCAATTCATGGTCAGTAACCCGTAAACCATGCAAATGCTCCTCGTAATCTTCCATCTCTGTGTCTATGTGAGAATTATATAATATAGGGTTTTATACCAGTTTTTCATGTCCGATCCCGCAACCTTGTTTCTGCTCGTCATCTTTTTACTTCTTTTCAAACTAAGCTTTTAATTATACAATAATGAATGCACCTTGTTTAGCTATCTTAAAAACATAACTCTCAAACTCTGAAATAAATACACATCTCCCTTAACGGAAGACATGCGTACCCACAACAGATATGTCCCATTAGTGCTCTTTTTTTTTATACAAACCTTTTCACACGTATCTTTTAAGTCCACAAGTAACAACACAATTAACCGCATTGATTTGTTGATTTGATCAAAAGTTCTCTAAAACTAAGTTTGTTCACTTGGAGCCTACAAAACACCACTTTAAAATGCAGTGAAGCAGTGATCACCATTTTGAGCCAGTATCAGACCAACATTGGGTATTGGACTAGCACATCCCTGACATAATACCTTTATGTATTAATGACAGTATTTCTGAGAATACTAGGGCTGCATATCAACCTCTCATGGGGGTTTCCCTTGCCCACATTTGGTCTTTAGCATTTTTAAAAAACTTATTGTGGTTTTCGCTTTAGATCAGAATCCCTCTATCCTTTCATATCAGCAAAATGATACATAAAATGACTTTAATTCAAGTAGCTGTGAAGTTCCCCCGAGAGCTGGTCTTGCCCTCAGATCAGCACAGGTGATGAGGGTAAAGTGGGCCTGTCCTGCAGGAATGTGAGGTCTGAGAAGACACAGCTGCCCTGAGCCTGAGAGGCGGACCAGGCCGAGACTCCGGCAACTGGTCCCTGTCGACATCTGACACCCCACAGGCCCCCTCTGTCTGCTATTTCTAAAAGACTGGCCTCAGTTTGTATCACATCGGGCTCTCTCTGTGTCGGGCCATATCAGCGACACCACCTGAAAAACCAAAGCTGTGCCTGGGAAGATTGAAAGCTCAGTCTTGAAGCTTTGCAGTAGTAGATCTGCCCAGCTGCAGACGATTTTGTGGCTATGAACATTTAGTAAAATGTTCAGTTTTTCACCTTCACTTCAGTTGGTGTTCCTCTCAGTGTAACAATTTACGATTCAGGTTCCGTCCCCTTCTACATCATGTCCTGTCTGTGTGGCCTTACATTTGGCATGTCCTGTACTTGAAGTTTACCTCAAGTTCATACACATTCATATGTCTGTCACTTTGAATCTATGGCCATTGCCTGCACTTCCTATAAAGCATTCAACAGTAAAGATGGTGGATCTAATGCAAATATGACTTAAGATTTAGTAAGATTCCCAAGTGGCATGTTTTATAACCTTTCTGTCATAAGATTGATTCAGTTATATGTCCTCTCTGAAAAAAGTACGCCTCCTCTGTGTTTGAGTGTGTCATAAATATACTGCAGCACATTTGAAATGCAGACCGGCAGCACGATGGCAGAAAGAGTGAAACCACCACTCTGCAGTTTGAAACCCTCCTGTCATAAGATATTTATCAGCAGTAAAATAACTCTTTATATATAGCCTCGCATTCTTTTGACAATGAAATATGTCTGTGGGTTTTTGCAAATAACTCTGTGGATATTGTACAGATATCCAAATTAGAATGAGGTTAAGAAAGTTATGGCTGCTATGACTACAGCAATACATTTATATTCTTTATGATCAGAATATCAGCTTTCACTTCCATTTGACACTCATCATCATGTTGGGATTCTCTTTTATGTTCTCCTCAAACATTCTGTTTTGCTCTCTTTACAATTGAGGTAACAACCTGCTCTGTGATGCCTGTTCGTACATCCCCAGCAGCTCATGTGAGCTCCTGTGAGCAAAGAGACTCTAACACAATCTGAAAATAATAATGACCCCCTTCATCTGCCCCTGAGGTGTTACCTGCTGAACCGAACCGCAGCTTGTGTTTTGGGGGGGGGGGAAGAGCAGGAGTCACGTGGTCCAGGCTCACATGATCGGGATGTCCTGAAAAATATTGCGTCCGCATGATGGGATTGTGTGGTGTAAGTGATTGGCATGCCTATGAAGTCATTAAAGAGGAACCTGCTTGTGTTGCACTGAACAAAGCTCCCCTTTCTTTAGTAGGCCATTATACGAGGCAGGCTTTGGCCTCAAAGGCTCAGCTTCCCTGCGTTTTGCATTTCCCCTCATTAACTCACTGCTGCTAACAGTAGCTGGAGTGAGATGGAGAGAAGAAAGTGCGTTGTGTTCCTCTTAACAATTTAGTTTATGTTAGGTGAGCTTAACTTGTGCTTTTTTAATGTCTCCTTTAATGTAGGAAACGGAATAAAAAAAGAAAAATTAGGGATTTGTTTGCGAGCTCATTTTGTGTTGCCTTGCATTCAATCTCACCCTCCAAGCTTTTGTTTTGGACAGAGATACAAGCCTTCAAAGTCTTGTTTTGTTCGCTGACCTTTTAAAACCATGTGATTCTATGATCGTAAATGACTTTCTTAATTAAATGATTGTGTTATATCTGTAAATGTGGATCTGGTTAATGGTCATGTAAAATCAGCTAATCACTGTAAGAGGAATGTTCTTATTTTTAACTTATTATTAGGTATTTTCAGGTAAAATAACAAGAAAATCCAGATACCAGTTCCCATGTTACTGTAGTGTTTTGGGAGGGGAGCTCTGAAAACTAAAGTTGTGATTTGCAGAATGTATGTGTGTGTGTTGTGTGACACAGCTGTGACAATAGCTCCTGACCCCCTGCAGCCTCATGGTACAGACAGGACAGGGCCTTTGGTAATCCCTAGGCATGTGCTGTTGTGTAATGGTACACAATACTGCCCGTTAGCAGAGCAGTGCTGCTACAGCTTTAACCATCAGTCAAAAGTGTTATTGACTTGTTGAAGTCTTCATATGGTAGCATTGCATTGGCCTTAAAGTAGATCTTTGTCATCAGAAAGTCGTCATTTGCATTTAACCTTACAGTGCTTTTGTTTTAATTTTCCTGCTTAACAACCACTCCGAGCTTTATATGATATGAAATTGATTGCAGGGGTAAATAGCAATGATCAGTTAAAAGTGGACTTTGTTTTTTTTCACATTTGGACAAACTGGGTGCATAATACAGAACATTGTTATGATGATTTAGTAAGTTTCAAGATGACATCATTTAGTTTTTAAAGGCAAGAAAAAACATTGGAGGTAACGCAGCTTTATCTGGAAGTTAACATCCATTGACGTTAAGACTGTCTATTAAAAGAGAGACAAGGTGTTGGGGAATGTGCCTGCTAAAAAAGATGAATATTAGGAGGAGTGCATTTTGAATTACCGTCAAGGCTGTAGTGTAAACAGTGAAACGCAGAGAAATATGTATTTAAACGGTTCTAAAAAGACAGAAGATTGCCGTGTCATGTTAAAATGTGCAAAGCGGACCAGAAAGAAGGACAGATAAGTTAGAGTTGTGTCTCTACAGTACGCTGCCTCTCTTATCTTTGAGGAATTCTGTCAGTTTACAGTAGTCTGTGCTCTGTCAGTGAGGCGAGAGGGAGGAAGAGGCAGATAGTTGTGGCTAACTGACAACAACCAGGCTGTGATAAGCTGGATTTCAAATGCTGTCTGAGACATGCTCACTGTGAGCTGGAATGCTTCTCCTGTCTAATCCATAATGAAGTTATCAGACTAGTAAATGAGCAGATTACATTGGCTGCCAAGTCTGTAGAATAGTGGTGGATTAAAATATTTTGGTTTATTAAGAAAATGTTGGAAATGTATTTGGTTTCAGCTGTTCCCCAGCTGCCACAATAACCTTGTGTCAATCTCGACCCCTTTTTTATTTGTTTAGGAGGCTAAATGTGTCTCAAATATATTTAATGGACAGGATAATTTTCTCAAAGGAAGTATTAAGGTCTGATTAGTAGTTTTAATTTCAGTTTTTTAT